GGGGGGCGAGCAGTTTAACAGTGCGTGATTTGGGGTAAAAAAAAAAGCCTTGTTTTCTTGAGAGTTGTAACTTATTTTTTTAATAAAACCTGGCTGGACTGACTGTACCAGAAACTTTATTGTTTCAGTAATGGATCATTTCTACGTGTCATTATGTTCAGGGAATATAATTAAGATAATACACTTGCTCTATACGTTTATTTTTTGTAATAAAGGGTCTTTAATTTTCTTGGTAATGCAACATGTTTTGAGCAAGGATCACACGTTTTTTAAATGATTCAAATAAAAAATAAAAAGTGACACAGTGACACTTACATATAGATTGATAATATATATCATATACTGCAGGTGCATAACATGAATCCAGTCGACAGCGTATTTTATTAAAGTCATGTTTTATGCTGTTTTTCTTGAGTTATCCTTATAGTCGTTTTGGAGACTGTAGGGTCTGGTGCTGTTGAGTTGTATTGGGCTATGTTAATCGTTGATTTATATATATTTTACACCCCTATATTCACTAAGGGCATCTCAAACTCGGTGTATAATGGCAATAAGAAGTGTTGTTCCTTAGTGTGACTGAGACTTTCCTCCTAAGAAGAACAACAGCATCAGTAGTTTCAGAAAGTGCCCCAAAACAGTGTAGTTTGCGTTCAGCCCTAGTAAGTATGACAGCAGCCAAGAAGAAAGTTACTTTAGCACCAAATACCAAATACCAATTCCTGCCAAGGGTAGGCTGCAGTAGATAGTTCAGGAACCGTTTATTTTCTTGCCAAAACCAGAAGAACTTAGCCTTATTTTAACAATGCTTAAATTATAAGGTAACACGTCTGAAAACGTATTGCAGTTTCCCCTCCCCTTTATTTTGGCTCATTAATCCTGTGTATGGGTCTACGGAAATGTACACAGCGCACCTACCAACCACTTTCTCATCAAAGCCCCAAACTGCACGAGTCGACTCTACTTACAGGAGTCAAGTGGAGTCTATATTTCAAAGAGGGAACTGCATCGTAGCTGAGGCAATTACAAACAAGCTTTTCCCCTGAAGAACTGCCAACGACTTGCGCCTCTGTCAGCAGTTTTCATTTACGCTACTGTTGAAGCAACACAACACTTGAGCCTGATTTACCTTATTATGGTAATGACTAAAGTTTGTCTACCTGCCTC